AGGCCGCTAACCGCGTGGCCCACGGCAGCCGCCGGCGAGGCCCGGCTCAGCAGGCGCGTCTTCTCCAGGAGGTCCCTGGGAGTGACAAACACCCTCGCTCAGTCTCTGGACAGGGTGCCAGTTCTGGTGACAGGACACCCCAAAGCAAGCTGTCTGCCACCAAGTTCCTATCTCAGTGCAGTGTGGCCATCGCCCACCAGTGACCTCAGAGTCTTCGGGGGGGCAGTCCCTTGAGCACTCCACCCCCGAGCGGTACATGCTGGCGACAAAGCTGTACCCACATGACAGTCCCCCAATACCGCACACCTCCTGTCCCCCGTGGATCTGCAAACCCGCTCGGCAGCAGAACCCGAGGTTTCCGGGGAACCTGGGCGCAGCCTCCTGGGTGGGGACGGACCCCCAGGGAGCTTCACCGGGGCCATGTCCACTCAGGGACAGGGGCCCGGAGTTCCTTCCTCGCTGAGGGAGTGTGGCCTCAGTTGCAGTTGACCAGTTCCACCCACCCAACCACAGTCCAGCTCTGGGCCCCTGGGTCCGGGGAAGGCAGGGTGGCCCCCTGGGCTGGCATGTGCACCGTGGCCTTGGCTGAGGACCACTGCGAAGAGGACCTCAGTGGGTCAGACACAGGCTCTGGCTCTCTGTCCCTCAGGAGTCCCCAGCCGCCCCTGTCCCCCTGTCCCCCTCAGCACTGCACCTGCTCCCTTGACGCCCTCTGAGGTCCCCACGGGGCTTCCCTGGCTCAAAGTCCCCAGACCCTGAGATCCGACCCTTGCAGGAAGTGCTGGTTGTGGGAGTGGACGGGAGGACAAGCCCCCAGGCTCCTCCCTAGCGTCCCTCCTAGTTCCGTGACATGTTCCCACCCTCTCCCCTAACTCTAAGTGCCCCCTCTGCTGCCTGACCCTCCCCTGACCTTGCCACGTGCACCCCAGCACGCCGACAGTGCCTCGCATGCAGCAGCACCCACGAGGGAAGTGCCCCAAATTTGGGGTTCTGGGGGAAAGTCGGGGGAGAGGATCCGGGTGGACGGGCCGGCCGGGAGTCCTCTGCCACTGACCTCCCAGCCAGCCCATGACTCCTCAAGGACTCTCGGGTCCGATGCTGCTACCAATCCCCACCTCCCCAGTCCCCAGGCAGGCAGGCTCAGTGCCTGTCCCCCTGGCCCGGGGGCTCCCCGCAAATGTACCTCCCAGGCCCTATGCCCTGGTGGAGCAGCAGCATCCTCTGCCCACCCAGAGCCAGGAGTGTTGGCTGGCTCCATGCCCACCTGACCCGACCTCCCCCTGGAGGCCCCAGTGTGGGTAACAAGCCCACAGTGCAGCCTCCCCAGGGACCACCCCTGACCCTGATGGATCCTGCCCAGATGCCACCCACAAGGGGTCCACCTGCCCTGGCCTTTCTCCCCGCCAGGAGGCTGCAAGGGGCCCTACTTACCGCTCCCGCTCTTCACGGCCCTTGTCCAGCTCTCGGTCGTGGTTGGTCAGGGCCGAGACCCGCTCGGAGTCCACGGGCTTGGGCCAGGAGGGCGGCGTGGGGAAGGAGGGGGGTGCGCGGTGCAGCCGGTTCCAGGCCTCGTGGGGGCTGGGCAGGCTGTGCAGCGTGGAGCCCTCCTTGTGAGAGAAGATGCTGCCGCCTGCAGCTGGGGAGGCAGGGGTCTGAGCCGGCTGCCCCTCCTCCCCGTGTCCCCCTTGAAACTGCAGGGCTGCTAGGGAGCAGCACACAGTCCCCAGATCCCAGGCCAGCCCTGTGATGTGTGTCCTGGGGGACGGCCAGAGGGGAACACACAAGCATCATGGTACAAGCAGAGGGAGCCCGTGTTCACTCGTGTGCTCGTGGACGTCCGAGTTCACTTGTGTGTGTGGGCAGGACGTGTGTGCACAGGGCGAGCAGGCATGCAGGGGTCACTCACTCAGTGCATGGCTGCCCAGGCCTCCGAAGGCGGCACTGCCCAGGGCCCCCAGGCCTCCGAAGGTGCTCGGTCTGCTGAAAGGGTCTGTGGGGGCAGCCGGGGCTCAGGGGCCTGCGAGGCTCCCACCCATGCCCTTCCCTGCGGCTCCCGTGCCAACTACACAACCTGAGGGCCCGTGGTCCTCGGGGCCACCACCCTGCCCACCTGTGTCCCCCAGCCCTGAGATCTGCAAAGGCAATCCAGATCACATGGACCTCAGGGGGCACCCACCTGTGAGGTGACCAGTGGACAGGAAGCTGCCGGGGTGGGCTGAGGGTCCAAGCTGGTTGGTGGCGGGATGCGTGATACCTGGGGGAGGCAGGCTGGTGGAGCCCGGTGCACCTGGCGCCTTGTCTGTGGCTTGTTCCTGGGGTGGGGGTTCCCCGACTTCCCCTGGGAACAGCTAGCTCCCACTCAAAGGATGGGACCAGGCAGGAGGGGGGCTTTAGCCTCCTCCCCCAAACACAGAGGACCCCGTGGGGGGCAGGGAGGAGGTGCTGACCGCGGTGCAGTTCAGAGAGAAGGTGGGGACCTGGCCTTCAGTGACCTGTGGCCAACAGAAGCCAACGGATGGTCCTGGTTACCTAACGGGCTTTGGGCTTGGGTTCAAGTGGACAGCGGCCTGTCACAGCTGCTAAAAACAGCAGCTTCTCTAGTGGTGCCCCCGGCTGCAGACCACAAGTGTCACCGTGGCATCAGCCCTGGTTCCCGACAGCCCCAGAGCCAAACCTCGAGGGCAGCCAGGCGGGGGGGCCCTCCGCTCTAGAGGGTGGGTTCTAGTAGACGGTACGTGGTGTCCTGTCTCTCCAGCTCCCTCCTGGGGGACCCTGACCACGTCACTGGACGCACAGTGTCTCGCCCCCATACCCTGTTATCATGTTAGCCACTTCTCAATGACTCTCAGGCCAAAGAAACCGCCCCAGAAATCAGAACCTGGCTGACTCCAGTGCCCAGGAGACTGTCAGATGCAGGGTGCAGGTGCGGAATGCAGGGGGCGCAGCACCAGGAAAGGGCCGACGTGGACCTTCCCGGCGTGCAGCCCACGGGGGCAGGGGAGGACGGCGGTGTGAACGCAGTGAGGACATGCCACAGCCCAGGGCAGGACGACACTCACGAGTGTGGGGGGGACCAGGAGGGCGTGTGCCAGGGGAGGGGGCGGCAGAGCAGACGGGGCCAGGGGTGAGTAGGCACCTCGGGCTCCGGGGTACAGAGAGGGGCTGCCCAGGCACCAGGGACCTGGGCACAGATGGGTCAGCCCTCCAGGGGACCCAGACACCTGGGAGACCCCTCTGCTCAGGACACAAGGGTGTTGCAAAGAGCCCCATTCTCGCAAGGCCAGCCTGGGTGCCCCGTCCACGCCCATCGCCCTGGCCGCAGCCAGGGTTCCCCACAGACCACGTGCGGGGCGGCAGTGGGTGGCGGTGAGGGCACCTAAGGGGAGGACTAGCGGGCGGTCAGGGAGGGCCCTCCGCGGAGGTGACAGCTCCCAGTGCAGGCTGAGATGTCCACGCTGGCAAGGGCTGGCGTCTGGGCGCCCGGACAACAGGCTGTGTCCCCTCCAGCTCACGTGCCCGTGTTCCTCGTGCATAAAGCGGTCTGTGCTGTTCAGCGGTGTAAACGCTCGGAGTGTAGTTTTGGTTCATGGGGGCAGAGGTGCCTCCATAGCCCAGTAAGAGCTGGGGTGTGGGGTCCCTAGGCTGCCACAGCTCCTCGCCCAGAGAAGAACACCAGGGGGCAGTGCTCAGGCCTGCATCTTAGCCATGGGGGTGACATGCTCAGTCCTGGGGTGCTTCTAGAAACCCTGACACGGCCAGACTGTGGTGTGGCTGCCGCAGGGGTGAGCACAGGGGTCTCAAGCAGTTTCCTGCCATTCTGTGAAAAGCCAAACACTTCCTGGGAGGAGGGGGTCAGAGGGGGGGTGTCGGGAACAGAAGGCCCCAGAAGGGCGCAGGCTAGCTCAGGCCAGCTCTGGGGAGGGTCCTCTGGAGGACACAGTGGCCGGCAGCCCACGTGGCCAAGCCTCCTGCCGACGCTGCAGCTGGACGTAAAAGGTGAGAACAGCCAGTGCAGCGGCCACCCCCTCCCTTGCCCCGGGGGACCTGGCCCCAAGCGGCCTTACCAGAGCTGGGGAAGAGGGGCCGGGCCAGGTCCTGCGGGTAGTGGAATCCCGCGAGCAGGCTCGGGGCAGGGGGTCTGCTGAGCAAGTCCAGCTTGGCGCCCACCTCCAGCTTGTGGGGGTCCAGGTGCACCTGCGAGGCAGAGCGTGTCCAGGGCTGCCTGCCCAGGGGGCCGGGCCTGTCCTATTCGGGCAAGCCCACAGCTGGGACAGCACCAGGGGGCGACCCCACCCGCCACGGGAACAGGTGACTCACCCCGGGGCTGTTCCACCTGGCCCAGGGCAACCCAAACGCTGTCCTCACAACTCATGATCTAGAAGTTGCTGACTGGTGTTTCAGTGAACTTAAAGCACTCTCAACTTGGACACTGTTTCCATTGGAAAGACCTTGTATTTCAACTTTGAAAACTGAGTTGAAAAGATAGATTCACACACTCATGTTGTTCTGAGTTTGCTCACTAGTTTTCCAATACCTGAATTTAGTGTATTAAAATCTAAATGTCTCTTTGTCACAGTGGCCACAGGCAGCAGAGGGACAGAGTCCGTCCTGGCCGTCTGGTGCCTGCCACTGTCTACGCTGAGAGCTGACAACGGCAGTTCCCGTGCTGGTGGCATGGTGTGCGGTGCTCTGTGGCCCCAGTACTGCCCCGTGAGGAACACCGACCCCTTCACTGTGCCTTTGGGGGGTTGGGGGGTCCCACAGAAGCAGGTGCACAGTGAAGCAGTGTTTTGAGATAAGCCCTCTTCGTTGACTTGGCTCTCACAGCACGTGAGGGCAGGACGACGTTACGTACCACGCGTGCAGGTAACGTGTTACCTGGGATGGCAGTGACAGGTGTTAGGGCCCTTCTGTGATACGGGGGCCGCCTGCCCCCATCCTGATCCCCTGTGAGGGCCTCTCACCTCCCCCTGCCTTGCCCACCCCGCCCGCTGCCCAACGGAGGGTCCCTGATCTCTCGTGGTGGCCTCTTCCCTGCGTCATTCGGGGAACTCGCCCAGGTCCCCCACCGTGCTGGGACAGCAACGGCCTCGTGCCCGGCTACGCTCTCATTCGTTGTCTGTCCCTCCAGAGGACACAGAAGCACCTGGGCGCCTTCAGTCCCCTTTGCTCAGGGCTGAGACTCAGGCACACAGCAGGTGCTCAACGTGTGCTCCCAGGAAAGAGT